GAAAGGGGTGCTAACAACTAGAAAACCCAATAGCCTGAATATAACCTATAGTTCTGGACCTCACGCCAAGATTTGCCTTACCTCTTGGGCTGCTTCTGCGAATACACCAGCAGATACTTCACTCGCAGGAGCTGGTTATTGGTGACCACAAAGTACTTTGGAGGGATGTCTCCCCCTTCACTATGTTTGATTCTCGCTCTTCTGCGATCTATCTCCTTGGAATCTGAATAAGGAAAGAGTAAAGAACACCTTTGCTGGGGGTCAGGGAGGAGACACACAATAACTAAAGAGCAAATTATGAATAGAAATGAGCCAAGCCTCCTGGTCCTGAGAGTGGAGAAGCCCTGGCAGGCTGAGGGATGAGCCTCTGTGTACGTGAAGCAGCACTGAAAAAAACCCAGGAGAATCTGGCAGGCCGGTTGGCAGGCAGGCAAACAGGAGGAAGAAAAACTGAATAAGATAATACAAGCAATAGGGTTGGCCAGTTAGTTCAGTTGGTTGCAGCTTGGTGTTATAACAAAAAGTCAAGGGTTCAAACCCCCATACCAACCAGTCGCAAAAAAAAAAAAAAAGAATACAAGGAAGAAAACAAAACAAAACGCAACTTAGTGGAGAAAGGAGAGAATGATGAAAATTGATGGCCATAACAGAAAAAACACTCTGGGAGGGCCGGCCTGTGGCTCACTTGGGAGAATGTGGTGCTGATAACACCAAGGCTGCAGGTTCAGATCCCTATATAGGGATGGCTGGTTAGCTCACTTGGGAGAGTGTGGTGCTGACATCACCAAGTCAAGGGTTAAGATCCCCTTACCAGTCAACTTTAAAAAAAAAAAATCACTCTGGGACTGGGAACTAGGACCAGGACTTGATCTGATGAAACAAGTCTCCTAATATGCATTTTAAATAAACCATTCTGTATTTAAGCTTTTTAGAACACTTAACTTCCACATTTCATAACAAGACATGTCTAAAAAAACAGAAAGAAAACAAAAAAAAATTTCTTTTGATAACATGAAAGATGGCTGGCCAGTTAGCTCGGTTGGTTAGAGCACAGTGTTGTAACACCAAGGTCAAGAGTTCTGATCCCCATACTGGGCAGCCACCTAAATAAATAAATAAATAACATTAAAGAGCTTTACAAAAAAAAAAAAATCCGCATGACAACAGAGGCTGAAAGGTTTTGCTTTGCTGTTTAATGGCACAGTTTGCAGACTTCCTAAGAATTATAAATGCAAATATTCATGTCATCTAGTTTCGGAGGATGGTATAAGACCTGGACCTGTTTCTCAGGATTCCAGGTGTTTTACATTAATGGCCAGAACAGTCAGTTTTCTACATTCTCCTCAGTGGAACCAACAGGCCAGTTTTGGAGACAGGAAGAATAGCTCTATGACTCTTCTTTTTTTTTTTTTTCGTGACCGGTAAGGTGATCACAACCCTTGGCGTGGTGTCACCTGCACTGCACTGAGCGCACCGGCCATCCCTATATAGGATCCGACCCCGCAGCGGGAGCCCCGCTGCGCTCCCAGCGCTGCACTCCCCCGAGTGCGCCACGGGTCAGCCCTCTATGACTCATCTGACAAAAGCAAGACAGCCAGGGTCACAGGGCAAGTAGTCTAAGGGACATATTAAGGGAGTGGAGATGAGGTGGCCAGCTAGTCAGCCGCTTCCTGGAGAGCCCAGGGTTTACTCTCCATGGCCTCAGTTGCCCCTCCCATCCTCCAGGGGCTCTCCAGCACACACCAGAGCAGCTTGGAAGGTCTGGACCCAGCATCCTCAGCTTCAATTTAGCAAAAATTTATTGAATGTAAAGTATGTACGAGGCTTTCTGCTGACACCAGGTGCCAAAGAATGAATGAGACCTAGTACTAACCTAAGGAGCCTATGCTCTGGCCTCCCACACTCACTTTCACTTGTCAAATCTTGCCTCCTCCCCAAAGCTTTCCCTGACCACTTGGACCCACCCTCCTTCCTCTGAGCTGCCCCTGTGGAGCTCATCAGCCCCCTCACCTGGCACTCCCTACCTACTGCCTTGTAGTAAGTGATCTTTTCCACTGTGTGTTCTTCTGATTACTCACTCCTTGAAGGCAGGCCCCTGTCCTGCACTGCCCTGGATCCAGCCCATCCCCTGGCATGCAGTGGGTGCGCCTCCCAACAGCTGGACCAACGAGAGCCTGTACAGCCAACAGAGGCCTGTAGCCCAAGTCTGGGCCAAGTGCTCACTCACCCTTCTTCTTGGTTTGGCACTTGACATCTGGATGGTCAATGACCTCACACACGGCCACACAGCTAAGGATGGGGCCGAGGAGGCTGTGCTGCCACCCATGGCCATGCGGGCTGTAAATGAGGGCCAGGCTCAAGTCACTGGTGAGGTAGGTCCCCTCTCCAAACAAGGATGTCTGCAATGGCAGAGGCCAAAAGAAAAGACACACAGCTGGGTGAATGTAGAGTTGGCACAGCAAGATGACAGAGGTCTTCCTTCAACAGAGTTGTAAACACCAACTTTTCAAACCTTTTTTTCCCCAGCAAGACACAGGATCAAATAATCCTGTGGCATCATCTTAGGATTGTCACTAAACACATTCCTATCTGAAAACTGTTTAACTTATTATGGATTTGGCCATCTAGCCTAGCAAACTATCAGTTTCTTGGGATCAAGGCTGAGTGAGAAAAACATAGGTATAAGAGTCAAAACAGACCTGGGTTTGAATCCTTCAACAAGCTGGCAAGTTATATAAACTCTCTCTGTCTCAATTTCTACATCTACAAAATAGTGTTAATAGTACCTCCTTCATAAGGTTATCAGTGAGGATTAAAACATAAAACATCAAGCAGAACACCTGGCAAATGAGAGATGGTAAATAAATGAAGGGGGGGTACCCCATCGCCGGCC